TTGGACTTGATGATCCTGAAGGTCTTTTCCAACCTAAATGATTCTGTGATTCTGTGAAATTCTACTCCCCTCTCCTAGATATACCAACTTCCATCAGATAGCTTTGTGGAAATATTAAGAAGTGTTTCCAAAACATGTTACAAATATGTAGTGGAGGCCTCAAGCCTTTTGCAACATATGGAGCAGAAGGCACATGAAAATGCTCCTCAAGCCTTCAGTTTCCTTCTCACTGGCCCACTGCAACAACCCTTGCCCTATATTTTAATACTGAATTCAGTGTGTTTGACAAAACCCTGGAATGTCCAGTGTATACAGACTTAGGAACTGGAGGATCTGTGAGGAATGAAGTTCATGACAGATGGATAAAGGAAGATCTGGAGCTGTGATTACACAAGAAGAGTTGAAGTCCATTTTGGGTTTTTGCAGCCTGTGCTCAACTAAGGCTCACAATAGCAAGGAGAGGATGTCATTCCAAAATCCCTTCTTCTCTTACAAAGGAGCAGAAGTTATATTATTTTGGTGCAGAAACAGACATTAACTAAGTTACCCGAGTTCTAGATAGCAAATGCTACAGAGCTGATGTATGCCTTTGTCTAGCTCTGCAGCAGCAAAAAAAAACCAGCTAATTTGGCTCCTCACTTCACACACAGATTTTTGCCCTCTGATCATTCACAGGAAACAAAGCCCATCTGCAGTTCTAGAAACAGCCAAGCACCCTTTCCTCCCTTTGGGCAGCCTGTCCAAGGCTGGTTCTCTTTGCCTGGAGTGGTTCTCCAGGTCACCAACCCAAGCCTGGCAGCTGTTGCACCCACTCATAACACACCAGCACCACCCTCACTGCCATGCTGAAAAATACCACTCTGAGCCACAGTAGGGACCTCATCTTATTTCAAGCACTTTGAACAGAAGAAAATATGATTCTGGGTGAGGGTGTCAGGAATACTACTAAAACAGGATCTTGGTAAGACTGGAGGCCAGGGTAACACACATGGACAGGAGCAGTCTGATCTTGAGGGGCCACTCAAGCAAATTTGAGCCTTCTAATATTTCTTGATGGGGACTCTGAAGCAGATGCCCTGGGACATTTGGTATTTAATTTTTACTCTTTCCAGAGAAAAGGTGCCTAGCATGCAAAGTGGCCATATGCCTTTTCCCCTCCATCTCCAAATGTCAACTATGAAGCTTCATTCTGGTGCTAGAAAGATGCTCTGTGATCAACCTGGCTTGTTCAGCCTCATTAGTAAACAAAACTCATGGTCAAACTCTTTCTTTGCTCTTTTGCAGCCCAGCCCAGGGCTGGCACTGCAGAGAAATGGTGATAAGTGAGGAAAGCTTTTGGCCAGGCCATCCTGTAGGAGCAGTGATATCGGCAATATAAGAGCCAGAGCAAAGTCCAGCTCACACACTCAGAGTTGTGCTGTCTCAGCAGGACTAAAATAAAAAATAATTATTAAAAAAATAAAAAGAAACCTTTATTTTGTCTAGGAGTAGCAGCTCCAGCAATCAGTACATTTGGAGAGCAGATTTGATAAGTACGGAGGTACCTTCTCACAGTCTTTTTCTATGTAAAATCATAACACAGAACCTGGTTTTGAGGTCCTCAGCACCTTTTCACTAAGGCAACCTACTGCTACCCCCTTTGACTCTTAACGAGTTGAAAACCTGACAGCTGTGCTTCTGGTCCAAGGAGGCAAAGCATTCCATTCTTGATTTCTTTTTTTTTTTTTTTTTTCTGATAAGAAGTAATTGGAAACACCTTCCCTATGAAATATTGGGGGTTTCTAGGGGGTTTTTGTCTCCTGATATCACCTAAAAGAGCATTTTCATTCTCAGATCCAAGAGGAAGGTCTTCATATAGGGTATCTTTATATCCCCCCTGCATGACTTACCATCTGCAGGAACCACCCTAAGATAGACCCTGGGCTAAGGTGGTGCTGAGAAGGGAGCAGGGCCTTTCAGGAGCTCTCTGAAACAGGTGCCACAGGGTTTCAAGGCAACGTGGCGTCCACAGGCCACCAGCAAGAGCATCAGCAACCAGATAACATTTCCTGCTGGGTCAGCAGCCTGAAACTGGAACATGCTGCTCTAAACCTCCTGTTCTATGGCAACTCTGAGCAATGCAGCTCAGACACACCCAGCAGGTACAAGTTATGTGCTAAGCTTTTCAGAAATGGCATACTGAACATCTCCCCAGCAAGAAAAATGGAAAAGGGAAACAAGAAAGGATGCTGACCCTAGCTAAGGCTGAACACTGCAACACCAGTTAGCAATAGCTTTTTTATCCATTTAAGTGCCAACACTTGTAAAATTACAAATAAGGGCATTTTAGCCAGTAGATGCTTCAAGAGGGAAAATATCCACCTTCTTGTCCACACCTTTTGTTTTTTAAGCCCAGTGTTTCTCTTCATGGCTCAGTTTGCACTTAGATAGGTATTTATTTCTGTAAATCACCGGATCCAAACCCACATGGCCCCAGAGCCAGCAGGGCTGAGGCACCTGGCTACATTAACCCACAGGTAGACAGGATCTGAGGTGGCCCAGCAGTGAGCATGGCATGACAACCCTGCCAAGAAGGGCGAGTGCTCCTCACTCCTGGCTGGGCACAGCAACCCAAACCCCAGGCAGGGCTCAGCCTGATCCCTTTTTGCTAGGATCAGTTTTCCTCCTGAGGCTGTGCTGCACCATTCATCCCACAGTCCTCACAACACCTCAGGTGTAAGGAGGCTGCCCCAAGCGTCAGGTTTGGAAAACCAAGAGGCAGATTCTTGGCTGGTGCAAGTCAGTATAGCTTCACTTCAGGCCAAGGAGCTACCCCAATTCACCCCAAAAGGTCTGGCCTAGAGAGACAAAGGGACACACTGCAGCCACTCCATGATTATGGAGTTTGGGCATTCCCAGTCCAACAGCACTGCTGCCATAGCTGGAAATCACACCTGGCAATTAGTCTGGCCCCAATGAACTGAGCAATGAAGAGAACCAGTCCTCAGAGCCACCAAGTAGAAAAGGTTTTCCACTTCCCTGAGTAGCTAAAATTCACTGTCTTCTCTTTTCAGCAGCAGTGCCTTCAGTTTTTGCTGCCCTTCACCTTTGGCCACAGGAGGATGCCAGCAAAGCACTGAAAGCCTCTGCCACTCAGCAGTTACACCTATAGTGGGTAACATTCTGATATTTGCCTACTCAGGGAACCTGGGTGACACCCTTTAGCTATGGTGTGAGGGGCAAGCAAAACAATGATAGTCCTCACAGGGCATGGGCTCAGTTCCCCAGACTTTCATCACAAAAACCACACATGTGCCCATGAGGAGCCTGTGTTGGTAGGTGGAAGCCTTAGTTTTACAGAGCATCAGAAGGTGTAGTGAAACAAATTGCAGGAAAAGCCCACAGAGCAGACTTAGGTAGGCAGAGTACCTCAGCTGGAGACCTTCCTTGCAGCCATCAGACATGCCACCTGTACCAGGTACATTTCCATAGCTTTTAATGCAGCTTAACAATTGTGTTGGAGACAAAGGAAAAGGCACACTGTACAGGAAAAAAAATCTAAAATGATACCCTTTTATTTGTAAAGCTCTGATGAAACAACTTTCCAAATGATGTCCCACTTAAAAACCAATGAAAACCAACCTAACTATGCATCAGTCACACTATACAGATTGCATCCTACATTTTCAAGATGCCTAGATATCTTCTGTAGTATTTACATATGTATCAGTTAGGTAGTAAAGTTTCATTGCAATTTGTTTCTTTCCACCACACACTTACTCAATGGCAAAAAAAAAAACCCCTTGGGGATGCATTTGCATTTTTGTACAACACTTTGGAGCAAATGGCTAGGGCAATTTTCCTGAGAGAAGGCTTGTTCTTTGAAACTCTTGCTTTAACAACTGGAAATACGGAAGGTGGATGCATTTTTGTTGCGCTAAAAAGCCTAAGGATGCCTAGTTAAGTTTTTCTTTTAAATTATTTACGTACCATTAAGTTAAAATGTTTACATTCATTCATTCGTATAAAAACCGTTGTTAAATCTTATGCAAATGATTTAACACTGATTGCTGCAACGCAAATTGCACTTTTTTTAAAAAATTATTGTATATATGGAAGAAAAATATCTGATTGCTACCCTGTTTACAAATTTTGACTGACTCTACACAGTTCAGCCAGGAAATATGGACTTTCATAAATCTCAGTCACAGTGAACTTTAAAAGTTATATCGCAGTCTTGAAAAGTGAGTAAATATTTTAAACCAAAAAACACCAATCCCAAAATCTCCTTAACCAGCTGGACCTTGTGGGACTTGTACCAAACGTTTGTGATTTCTTCCAGGGACATAGCTGGGCTCTGAAGAGCAGAGCAAGGCACGTTGAAGATGGAGAGCACGGAAGGAGAGGTCTGACGGGGTGAAGACATCAAATCTTCGGTGCGAGAAGTCTGTGTCAACTCAAGCTGTAAGCACTTCTGACACTCATTGAAAAGTATCTCACTATCTCTGGTAAATAAAGTCTTTGCTACTCCTTCCTCGACATTGACAACTTCCACCAAATTCTTAGGGGAAAAGGTGATGAGAGAGTGAAAACAACTATATAATCAGAAAGGCAGTGCTGCAGGGTAAGTTGAGGATGTATTTCTGGAATCTAACAATAGGTGTGGGTTTATCTCTTCTTTTTTGTTGTTGTTTTTTCTTTTCCTTTTTTTTTTTGTTTTTTTTTTTTAAAGTTTTTTTGAGGGGGGCTTTGAAGGGTTTTTTTAAGAGTGTAAGGCTGCTTTAGCTATCCCCGGTGGTCATTTGCTTTCCCTACATTTTTCTTGCATAGTTGAGGAACTGGATGCTTTGGCAAAGCCTCTTTCGGAAGTAGAAAACCACCTCTGCCACCAAGGCTCAAAAACTGTTTCAGAGGAATGGTCTTTGCCAGCACTCTCACTGCCGCTGCGACCGCTCGCTCCACAGAGGAAACTGCGCGCGGATGTCTGGGGGCTGCCAGGATCCAGCTTCCCTCGCACCAGGTCACGCCAGAGCCAGGGCACACCAGGGATCCTGCCTCACAGATGCTGTCACTTCGGCCGTGGAGCTCAGGCTGACTCCTGTGTACAGCCCATCTTGACCTGAATACTTGAGGTTGCTGCTCTCAGGACTGGTGCTCTCTCCGGGGCCAGACATCACCGACGAGCTCGCCTGCAGGGAGGGGGAGAGCACAGAGAGATTCATTGAGCAGGTGAGCTTGGCACACGCTGGGGTGTGAGTGAGAGCACAGCGGGCCTGAAGCACAGCCATCATGACAGGATTTCTGTGCAAAAACAGGCTTTGCCCTCTGCTTGCCCCTGTGCCTTGAAATCCTGAAACAAAAATGTCTCAGCATGAGCCCAGCCGCCCAGCCCTGCTGATGGCAGTGATGTCTATGTTTGGAGAGGTAGAAATGAAACCATGTGATGTGCAGAAAAGTTGGAAATCAGCTCATGATGAAGAAGGAAACATGCATGTGTCCCACTGCCCCCTACTGAAAAGACACAGCTGCCAGCACCAAAAATGTGATCTGGGAGTGGTGGCAGGTCTAGTTTTTTGTCCTCATGGGAGAAGCCCAATATATCCTAATTCTCCAGGAGCAGCTACGGAGCACCTTCTGAAAAGCAGCTTTCTTTGGGCTCTTCAGCCCTTGAAATGCTTAAAATGATTCCTGACCCTTCAAAACACCAGCCAAAACCACTTTCTCCCTGTAGGACTGGCCACTAAAGGAGATGCTCTTTTAATCTTCAGCAGAGAAACACTATGCCTTTGAAGCAGGAGTATTTTTGTTCTGCTGACTGCACAAGACAACATGCAGGGAAGCCCTGATAGGCACGGAGATGAACCTCTGAACCACACTGGAATCAGTCCATTTATTTTAACAGAGAAATGGAGAGTTAAAAAGACAAAGGAACAATCATTTTTTCCATGAGGCTGAGCAGATCCGCTAAAGAGGAAAAATCCGCAGTGCCAGACAGAGAAGGGGCAACATTTTCACCTGATAATTGAAATGTTAAAGAGCTGACTTCATGCAAAATTAACTCTTGGATATGTCAACTTTAAAGCCTTAATTTACTTGTTAATGGATAGTCTTTGGATGAAATTCCTTAAAAAAAAAAAAAAAAGAAAGAAAAAGGCTATCCTAAACTGTGACTGCAGAAGCTTCCTGCCTGCTGTTTAAGTAAGAAGTATACATCTTTAATCATTTTACAAGAGTAGAGCTCTTGGCTCTCCTGGAGCTGTGCCAAGCAGTCCTGACATAGGAAAAGCAAGGCTTCATTAATTCAAAGGTAATTTCCAAATGGTGTGGAGCAGGGCTCTTGTTGCCATGCTTAACCCAGGGAAAACCTCACCTTCTGAAAGAGATACTCACTGCTAGTAGTCATTTTTGTCTGAAATAACCTGGGCTCCAGTATTTTTTTAACCTTTTATTAAAATGATTGACCACCAGTATTCTTCCACCCAGTCATCAGCCCTGATCCTGCTCCATTAGTCACTACCCAGAAATGCAGAGAAGGAAGGAAAAAAAGCTGTCCCCCAAAACCAGCTGAAACAGCTCTAATCCTAAGAGATAAATTTTATCCCTCCTTTGAACATACAGTTTTCAATCAGTGACAACAAATCTCTGTCTCCTCTTTCCCTGTGACTGTGCATGGAGAATTCAGTGAGGCAGGTTCCATGCTAACCTTTGTGTACGGCCCTGATCTTGCATCAGCCTAGCTTTTCAAAGCCTTCCTTTTATTTCTAATGCCTCAAACATTTCTGTTAGCACAATAGACATAATTTTTAACGGCTTCAGTCTCCCCAGTGTGGAAGAAGGGTTTAAATTAGATGAGCAGTGTTTGCTAAACCTGAGCTAAAAATACTAGGAGGTGCTTTGAAAGGTTCCCATTTGCCCATATTTGCCACTGCTGTTCTGGTAGACAAATATCTTATCAGTGCCTGTTTTTTCCGGGCTTGGAAATTGTAATTCACCTTTTCCTGATTCAGCCCTAAAAAGGTGGGGTGCAGGGACCTATAGTTTCCATATGGGGTTATCAGGTACCCCTCCCCTGGGCACCCCAGAAGGGAGGACATGGAGGCACGTCCTGTTTGAAGACTGCCCATCCCTGCCTGTCCAAGGCCGGATTCTGGCTCTGTTGAGCCAGGACGGGCAGGACCCGGGCAGGACTGCCAGGCCTGGAAACCCCACCCCAGTAAAGTCATGACAAATCCAGGCAGCTTGGGCAGCTCCCAAAGTGAGACATGGAAAACAAACTTTGGCTCATGAAAAGGACATGACAGAATCACAAGTCTGTTCCTGAGCCTCCCTACCTCTGCTCTTACTTTTCCAGCTTTAAGAGATGAAAGATGACAGAGGTTGCACTTAGTTATTAGAGGACTTTTTTCAGCTGAAATAAATAAGCTGAACAATGCTGATTAAGTCAATGAGGTCTAATTCACATCTACTGGCTCTATCTATAAAATGACTTTATTTTTATTGGTGAAATCTGATAATAGATAATAGATAATAGATAATCAACTGAAGATCACCTTCCAGAGGAAAAAATTAATGAAGTCCACTGGGAAGAGCCTGCCTCTCAAACAAACAGGGAAGTTTTGCTTCTATCTGCAAAGGTTTTTCTTTTTACCCAAACCAGGAGGAGCTGTGTTGCAGTGTGACGCCATTTCCTGTTTCACCTGTCCCAACCCCTCAGGTGTGGCAACCTCTCCTTTCCCCTCCCCCTTTGCCCTCCTGCTGAGAGCTGTCCATCAATCTTAACATTCCAGCAGGATCGTGGTGTGGTTGGCAGAAGTTCAAAAGATGCCCCTCAGGTCTGGGCTCATTGGCCTGTCCAAGTGTCTTTGTCCCTTGAGCCTTCCCCTCCTCCCACCTGGTTGGTGCCTCACCTGTCCCTTCCCCTCCCCCTGTCCCCGGGCTTAAAAGGAGACGGGACCATGCGGTCGATATTCCCTTGGGAGCTGTTAACAGGATTCAGAGGTCTATCATCCTGGAATAAAACTCTGGATTAAAACTCTACGATAGAATCCTCTCCTGTTTCTCTTCATCGTCGCCTGAACCTTTTCCACCAGAGGTAAATTGAGTTCCTACTATGCCTGGATTTGTTCTGAGTGCCCAGCTGCAGCACCCAGCCAGTCAAAGGCATCTCTGAGGTGAAACACCACAGCTGCCGCCTTTGGCCCAGCAGCAAGGGTCAGATGAGGGCAGGCACGTCCCACCCGGAAATATTGGGATTAATATTCCATAGAGCTGGTCATGAGTCAGCCCCCAGGCAGGTGATCTGTATCTGAGGTGGCCTTTCTGTAGAGGACCTGCCCACCATGTACAGAGGAAGACCTCTGCCAGAGCCACAGAGACAACTAGATTGTACCCAAACCTGCTATCAGGACCTTAGAGGCAAATTAATCCCCACTAAAACTGCTCCACATCAAAACCAGGCTGCTCAGGCTGCACTTGCCAGCACCCAGGGAACAGCAGCAGCAGCTCTGGCTGAAAGACTCCTGCTTTCCTCCACTACTCCTTCCTGCGCCATCTGCCCACCACAGAGAGCAGGGAGAGGGGATGGACACTTGCCCCTCTGGCCTTCCCCCACACCTCCCCAGCCAAGAGGGAAAAGCGCCGGGCAAGGTCAGCTGGAGGGGGGCAAAGGGCCTTGATCTAGACCTTTGGTCTATCAGATAGACCTTTGCTCTATCCACTTAACACGTTCAAAATGCTCCATGAATTTTGGACATTACATTAAGTCAGCAATAAGCTGAGTCTCAGCTGAGACTTTCTTCCTCCTCAGCCTAGTTTACTTTCGCAACACGTAAATGATATCTACAGTCAGTTAAAATACATTTGCAAAGAATTTTTTCACACATGAAGTGTTGTGGCAAACTGGTGGAGTCCCTAATTTTCCAGCCTCAGCCTCCCTGCAATAACTCCCATCCCCACAAAGAGCACGTTTTCCCAACACTGTCACTCCCTGGAATCCAAAGAGCAAATCTTGGCACTGCAAAATGACAGCTTTTTTTACTGATGTAACGACCCTCTTAGTACACAAAGCTGTCATTTCTTGCTAGTCCAATTGATCCTTTTGTTTATACTGCAGACGTGTAAGTTTACATATCTTCTAATCTCTCCTTTGTATTATAGCAACATAAATCTGTGGTTAATACTTCATTAATTTCCTAAGGGAGGCAACTTCCAGCATGGCTTGGAAAACTGATGACCCACTGCTGTCAAGGGCTGTATGAGTAACTGGCTTTATTGCTTTGGCAATAAAACAAAACCAAGCAAAAGGTATGCGTCCATGTGCATGTAGAATTTTGGGATAGAAGCAAAAATACTTTTTCCTTGCTTTTCCCCACTGAAACAAAAAAGCTGGATTGCTTCCTTCTGTTTGATATAAAAATGAAATGCCTTTTTTTTGGATACATATACACAGAGCAAAGAAAATTACTCAATGTAAAAGCAAAAGACTCAGTGTATGAAACTGAGTGGGGAGAAGAAAGTAGCTTCCCATTTTGTCCAGAACTGAGCACTGATGCAGAAGAGGTAGGAGACAAAGAAAAATTTAAACTAGAGTCTAGAGTATCATATCTCCCAGCATACTGCCCTGTCTGCCATGCTCTTTGGTATTTTAGGTTGCCACGTTCCTCATGCCTCCTGTTGATCTTATTCCACCTGGTTTAGATAAATATTTACTCATACCAGGACTGAGGCACCGTGTTCCCATTTTCCAGGTGAAAGTCCTACCAACCATGCTGGTGAGCCTTTCTCATGGAAACTCTGTCCCAACACGTACAACATTATTCCATACAACTGGACTATTATCATCAGATAATCTGAAGGACCCCTGAACATTCAGCTCCCCTATATCCGGGTGGTTAGCACATTGTTTTAAGAGGTTGAATCTCTGGTTCATACAGACATAGGACGTACTCTGTGGAGGCTGATTTCCCTGTAGCCAGCATGAATGTCCTATCAATTTTCTGCCTAAACAGGAGCAACACCACCTCTAACCAGCTCACTTTTTCTTCTTCTGACAGGAAAAAAGAGAAAGCAAATGCAGGAGAAGCCATTAATCCAATCCAGCCCCACTTGTCCAGCATTTTGGAGACAGTTAAAACTGCATTTTCCTGCTAGCTCACCACATGCCAAGGCCATCTCAGTCACCTCTCTCATTTCCCACCCTACAAAACTGAAGAGCCAGTTGTGAACCACTTCTCAAGGTAAACCTCCAAGGGAAGTAAGTACTAGTTTTTCCTCCTGAGTTTTTCTGTGGTGTGAGATTATGGTCCTTCTGAAAAAATTCCAAACTGGAGGCATAAGGCACAGAAGAGCCTTCTGAAAGAGTTCACCTGGTGCTGCTGAGTTTTTCTGACACCAGTTGTGGTTCAAGGAGCCTCCATGTCCTGCCATAAAAAGCAGATTTTACAACAGGTTTCATTCTGCCTTTATCCTAATAAGGAAATAAAGTCCTTCTGGTTATCGCATTTGTTGGAGCCCTTGCATGGAAATGGATGGGTTTGCACTGCAGACCATGCCCTTCGTTTAGCAATTTATTTGGTGGAGCTTTTGCCTGTACAGTTTCAGCAGCATCAAAGGGAGAGCAGGTATAGATGCAGATGCAGGCTGTCTGAAACCTTCAAATCTTCTTTTTATGGGGACGTAAGGCAACTTCATATATCATGCAGCTGGACCCTTTCCATATTAGTAACACAGGACACCCAGTACTTATAGTGCTTAGGAAAACAGAAATAGGCCTAGATCCTAGATCCAGATGTGAATTTGGCAAATAGCCCCTTTACAATGGGACAACAAAATATCTCCGATCCAAACACTTCTACATTTTGGGATGTTTGAAATCAACTTTGCCCTCACAGCAATTCATTAATTGTATCACTTAAATGTTTAAACTTCAACTAGAACGTAAAATCAACATTTAAGGTTCTTGCTAATTTGTCTCAGAATTGGCATCATATAAGATTCCCTTCGTGAAATGGATAGTCTCAAAGACACTGCCAAGAGTAATTGCTGCCCTCCTCTTTTTCTGCCCTCCCTTCTTTGTTTTACTTTAAAAGAGATAAAGAAAGGTAGGGCAAAAAGTGAACGTTACTGACACAAATGAATTCTGCTGAATTTCATTTCCATTAGATTTCTACATAACTGGAAACTTTTTTGGCAGCCTCCCACAAAAGGCATAATAAATTGCTTTTGTACCAGTAGAGGAATTCGTCTTCTCTGTTTCATTTAGCAACAACATTGCTGTGAATTTCACACAACAGTTTCTAAAACGTCATCAGATTTCTCTGCCTAATGTCAATTTGGCATTTTCCCCCTCTTCACAGAATAAAGGCTAGAGAAGCAAAAACAGAGCAAAACAAAAACAAGTTGCCATGCCCGTTGTGTAAGGAATGGGAACGAGCCAGGTTCGCTGTTCAAGCAGGTCCCTGTTTTTCAGCAACATCACCAACACCACTGTCAGGAATCAACATTGGTCTTTTTAAAGTCACCAAAGATTACAGAGCCTGGATTAATCCATCTGAGGGTTTGGTTTTTTCCCTCCTGACATGAGCTGAAGAAGTTTATTCCCCTTGTGCAAAGCCATTGCCTATTCTAGAAATAATTACAAATCTTTGATCTATCAGTAGATCAATTCAAAAGGAAAAAGAAAAAATAATCAAGAAAACAGAAGTCTAGCAGAGCATCCTTGCCTCAGCATATGATCAGGTTACAGGCTGCCTTGTTCTAAAATACTGACATCACTCACAACAGCTTAAATGGGCTTTATGAGTGCTCAGTCCCTTCCATAGGATTTAGACCCTTTAGAAATTATTTTGCATCCTTTGCAGTTAGTGATCATGTTCCCAAATGATGTCTGGGACAATGGGAGCCCATCTTAACAGCCACCACTTTCTACTTTAAACTTCCAGCCTCCCGAGTCCTCATCCCTTTGAATTACTTATGCTTGGGCAAAGCCAGAAGCCTGAGATAAGAACGTGACCATGCCCGTGACATACCCTGACAGCTGCTCCCTTGGAAACCCTCTTTTCATTCACATACATCTGGGACTGGGGCACAGGGGTGGGAGATCAGTAGCCCTTCACATAATTTGGGATGGAGTCAGAGGGATGCCCCTACATCTGGTTGCCACTGCAACTTCCTCTCTTCAGCGCATGGCACAGCCCCTCTCCATCACTTCCGTTCACTGAAATCTTACACGAGGGGGTATTTGCAAGTGCTTTGCATATGCAAGGCACATCTGATCAAATCATGGGTGGGGAAAAGGCTATGCAGATGTTACCATGCTGCCTGCTGGATATAAGGGGACAGATTTTCCCAGCTGTTGTGCAGGTGTCCTCTCCCAGTCTGACCTACTGTAGAAAAATCAGGGAGAACTGAAGTCCTGTCACCAAGGATGCCATCATGTAACTAGGAGCAGCCTCAGGGTCCCTCCTGGGAGTTGCTCCTAGTTGCTAACAGTTCTCAAGGAGTCTTTTAGCCCTCAATCCATGCCCCTGCACCCCTCTCCTCTGGTACCCACACAACTCCATCTGGCAAAACCATATTAAAAATGGCACTACTAAAATTATAACATGAAGATTATTAATAACGTGTTTGATGTGCCCTTCTAGGGAGAAATACCACAGAAAGGAAGTCAGGTTTTAGCCAGCCAAGAAGGCAGCAGCATAGTGGAAATGAGATCTCGTCTATATGGCCTCTCCTTCCCCGAGCAGCACATGGCTGTGCTGCCTCAGTCTAGTCTGGGTTTCTGCTTCCATGTCTATCCAATACATAAACCTCACCACACTGCTCAGGACCACTAGTACTGCTTAAGGTAACTCAAGGAAAATTTGGCTACATTTTTTCCTTTGCAAATATAAAGGGAGAGCCTAAACTGTGCATAGTAGCTCCTTGGGGGAGTCTGAAACCCAATTCCGAAACTGCAACAGTTCACTTTTCAGTTAGTGTTTCTCTTTTTCTTTTTTTATGTGATCTGTTTATTTTACTGTATTGACAGGGTTTTCTCATGTCAAAGACAAGCCTTTTTAGTACTATCCTAGTCTCACAGCATCCAAACTCAAAATCCAGTGCCTCTGAAAATGGGTGGCCCTGTCAGTCCACAAACAATCGCATTTGCTAAAAAATGAGTTTTTCTTCCCCTTGTACAATGAAACTTTGTACATCAGAAATTAAACCATTGAAAGTAGTTTGAATGTAGAAAATCCAAGACATACTGAAAAATAGCTATTATAAACAATGTCTTCCTTTCATTAATAAAGGACTAAAGAAAGCCACGTTAGAAAAGTTTCTCAAATAAGTGATGTGGCAGATTAAGGGATACAGAAGGCTGAGAAATGAGTGTGGATATGGATAGGTACAGCCAAGAGGTTAGAAATTAATCTACATTCAGCTTCACAACTTTAGCAGTAGTATTTATCACACATGCTGAGTGAAGAAAGGAAGTTTGAGATGGTTGGAGTACATGATGTAAAATAAGGATCAAAGCTAAAGCAGGGGATGATCAGCACTCCTCTAGTGCTTCTCTGGAGTTTGGTGCTGCCAGATGCTGAGCATCTGGCCCCTGAAAAGCCCTCAGTGGGCAGAGGGCTGAACCCCCATGCACTGCAGTCAGCAGGGTGCTCCAGCCTGGCTTCAGCTGAGTTTGGATCAGGGTTTAATTGCACATTTTAGTTTAAGACAAAAGCCTGTATAATTTACTTCATACAGCAGGATAATGTTTTTCTGGATTTTACCCATTGGGATAATGCATAAATATATATATATATATATATATAAAATTGTTTCTTGAAAGGATCAGTTGGGCATGTTTTATTGTCTTCTGTCCAAAAGAAAACCTTTGAAATGAAAGAACCTGAGTATTTAAAAACAAAATGTCTGCGGTTAAGCTGCGGCTAACTATAATAAAAATTATATAGATCTTAATCAAGAAGGTTTGCAAAGTACTTCAGCTTGTCGTTCTGTTTACAGCTATATGTAATATCCTCCGAAAATCTTGTTCTAGTATCAGCTAACAAAACTGAAAAGTTTGTTTAGATTATTGTTCTGCTAGATAAGATAAAAGCTGTGATAACATTGCCAGTGATCAGCCTGCCTGCAGATGCAGACACTTACCCCGGAGGCTGCAGGCTGTGCGCCGGGAGAAGCAGTTTTGCTACAGTCATCTGAGTTGGTAGAAGACGTGGATGTCGGAGTCATAGGAACTGCAGTAGTACTGTTACCTGAAAAATTGGGAATTGGCATTAAAAATAATATTTTTCAGACAGAGAAAAAAAAAAACCCAAACAACAAAAAACCAAGACAGCTACAAACTATTGCAGCTACACTTTCTTATATTTTATATTTACCAGAGCATGCCTTTGATTTATTTATATTCTTAGGTTTTCGCTTCCTTGTCTGGATTCCTTCTTTTTTCATAGCGAGAGGCCGAGGAACCTGAAAAAGTTAAATTTCCACACTAATCACAGAGTTGCATATGTACTCTAATCAAAAATCAAAATACACTACAAAACCAGATATGATGTTGCAAATGTCTGTATAGCAAGTTAATTTTCTCTGTGTCACAGTACTAATTCTAAAAAATATTTGCATTTTATTTGGGCAAAACAATAGTTTGATTCAAGGGAGTCGTAGCTGAATTAAGAAAGTAGGAAATTTTTTTTCTCTATGCAAACTTCATCGTTTTTTCAATCCCTCAATCAATCCACAGGAAAACAGCACAGAATTAGAGAAAACCAGCATCATTTGGCAGTAAGCCATAAGAAATTAAATTGGATGGGCTATATCTGATCCTTGATTTATTATTCCAGTCAGTTAGGAATTATCTCCAGTGCCTGATTCTGGAAAGAAAGAATGTATGTGAGAAAAAAAATCATCCTCATCCTGTGGACCAGCTCTGCAAACCAGATCACGAGGAAAAGTCTTAGGATGGAAGGTTCAGAATAGAAGAATTGACTTAGTATTTGCTCCTATAAGCAGATCTGCCCATAATACAGCTTTACAGTACCTAAGTTTATATTTCTAGGGATAAATTTGTATTTAAATGTGCTCAAAAATCATCTTTGTGTTCATTACAATAATAATCACACTACAAAAACACCAGCTTAAAATATATTTTAACACCAGTTTGAGGAAAGAAAATTCATGTGTTCTCTATCATTACAATATTTAAACCTGTGACATAATTTACATTTTATTGAAGGCTAGACCATGTCTCAATCATTCCTAATGCCTTCACTCTTCAAACATTTATGCTTGACTGTAACACAATCCACAGGGGGTCTCACGCAAAACATGCTCTATCGTATTCAGGACAGAGCTTTTCTTTACTTTATTATTGCCCAACAAAGGCTGAAATTGCCTTTAAAGTTTTTCTGGCTATAGCTTGGATAGCCATAGCCCTTTTGCTGCCATTGCTATGTCTGTCCATGAAAAACTGTCTCATTAAAGGTCTAGGGATTTTTTCCCTACTAAAGAGCTGGTTTAAATCCCAGTGTCAAAAACACCACTGCTGCTCGTCCAGAGGTGGTTTCTTTATATAAATCTATTGAGAGAGCTACAGTGGCAAACACATAACTACTCAAAAGCATAACAAGCTAAAGTGGTACAACCATCTTCTGAAGTCACACATTTTTCTGTTGCTCTACGCATTTCGCCAGGGATTTTTTTGAGGACCACCCCTTCCTCAAAGCAGCACCAGGGCTGGCAGGGGATCTCCCTTGATGGAGCAGCCACTCACCCCATGGAGCTTCATGTAGAGGCCGCAGGCGTTGCAGACGGGCTCGCCCTCGGCGTTCCTGCGCCACAGGGTGGTGGTCGTGGTGTGGCAGTTGGCACAGGACAGGCCCATCCGCCGCGACGAAGGCTGCATGGGGGCAAGCACAGGCAAGCACGGCATAAACAGGTGGGCAGCAGAGAATGATTTATGCCTTTACGCTTCTAAAAAGTCCTTTAACACATGGCGGGGATGGTAGGAGCCTTTCTTTGATAGTATCTGTCAGCAACAGCCCAGAATTAGAACGGAATTATCCTCATATCAGAGAGTGGAAAGATGCTGTGAAAAGGTACCGAATGTCTTTCAACTCTGGGCAGTCACAGCAGAGGCAAAATTCTCATCTGGGAGCTGGCGATCAGAAGTCTGTTCAGACCACCAGGCACCGGGTTTTTCCCTAGCAGGACAGCTAGGAAATATCTCCACTACAGCTCCATTGAGCTGAACAGAAGGCACATCCCTCCCATGCCGCCTCCCCAGACAGCTGAGTGCCCTCTCCCCTGTGTGGTGGGTGAAGAGGCAGCTCTGATTCTGCCACTGATACTCCTGACTCATTGGAAAAATCAGCCACTTCAATCACCTGCCCTCAGTGGCACCACATCTGGGGAAAACTTTCCTGGGCATCCCCGGGGTAACACATACAACAGCATTACTTTGATAAAAAGGTCTTTTTAGCATCGCCCATTTTATCATTGTACAAAAAACAGCATGCCTTGGGAGCATGTTTTACAGAGCAGAGCCTCCCTCGGCCATCAGAAAAGCTGGTGGGTGACAACAAGGTTCCCACTGCAAACAAGCCATTTATGACACTCTTCCGTGGAGTTTGGAGCCAAGATGAAGCAACTCTGTATCAGAAATAACCGTATAACCCAGAGCTTTATGGCTACAGGCTGTATATCATAAGTGAAGGCAGTCCTCATAAACATGTGAAATGAAGGTGAATGGGTTATAAAAGTCCCTGTAACAACTGATCTCTTTTACGTTCATCACAAGCAAAGAATTCCAGCTACATCATAAATCTAGTCTTTTTCAAAGTATCGCATTGTCAAAAAAATACAAAAAAAATCTGTGCCTAGCTCTGCGTCTGGCAGCTGAACAAGTTTACATGGAGAAGTCAGTTTCAGAGGATTGCATTAATCTTATTCTGACCATAAAATGCCCATAACCGAAATTACTAACTTAAGGGTACAATGCCCTTCCTCTTGAATCATTTACTGCTGGGTTGTTAGACATAACTGGGTCACCTTTGATACCACAGGGCTGCCTGCCACTGGGGAAATCGATAAAAATGTTTTGAGAATGAAGAATATTCCAGAGTGATAACTGAGTTTCTTGAATGTTGTCTGTTTGAGTATCTTTAGCAGCAAGCCATCATTTTACACCACAGCTCAGAAAGAGCTCCAGATTAAATACAAATTTTGTAATCTTGAATCAGTAATCCATTATTAACTGCGCAGGGGAAAAAAGCGAACCACTCAGCCAAGTGTTATATAGGCTGAAGTACACAAAAACAGTTTTTAATTTTAAAAATCCAATTACCATCAAAACAGAATTTTCGATCTAGTTATTAAATATGTGCACACACAGCACTCAAATTATGCCCTCAACTCAATACGTGTTTTATGTGATCACATCGACTAAAAGAAAACTGGTTGTAACACACATGCTTTGTTTCCTTTCTCTGCAAGTGAAATGCTGTCAGCTGTTTCACTCTGTTGAATTCTATGCAGCCTGGTCTGAACCTTCATACATTTTATTTCAATAGCTTTTGCTCATTCCCATATCTAAACAGACATGGAGTTTTGGCATGTTTTGAAGCTAAAATGACTTTTCTGATGCAGGAATTTTATCAGAAACTTTGGGGCAATCTAAACATGTTTAGCGTTTTCAAAACATTTTCCCTTCTCACCTACATATTTCCAACTGTATGAACACAGAGTCATGGTTGATTTATAGTTATGGCCAGGGCACTTGGTAGGGATTGTTACACAGAGCTATTTCAGAGTTATTTCGCTGAGGTGTCAGACTGAAATCGGGCTGTAGTTTGACTCTGCTTTAGTCTTCTCACCCCCACCCCTCCCTCAAAAAAAAACAAAAAAAAAAAAAAAAAGAAAAAACGAAAAAAAAGGACACAGAAAGGGTAGAACAGGGTGTCAGCTACTTGAAATCTGCCTTGGGCCAGAGTGCCACAGCAATTGGGGCTCTGATGCTTGAGACAATCAGCAGATCTGGCCCCTCCGCTGCATCTGTCCCCGCTAATGAGATAACACCTTGTGTCATGAAATTTACCTGATGGCCAGCTAGAAAAAACAGACACCTAGCAGCAGTAAACCTCTGGCTTAAAGTTAAATTAACTCTTTAGCTTAAAGCAAGGTCTTTAAGCAGAGGTGGGTTGGTTCCCAAGCGCTTACTGTCTGTTCCGACCATCGAGTGTTTGGGTCTTGTTTCCCCTCGCTCCCGTAAGAGCACTAAATTTAAATGGTTGTGAAATATAGAACAGTAGGTGTTTCAGCCCAAGGAAAACAGGCATGGAGCAAAGCAGCTGGCATGATTGAAAGGGGCTTGAAAGGCTGATGGGTTTGATACACTGTCTCCATACACAAGGGTCCAAGCATCAGCTTGGATTATAGTGGTGTGATTTATTGTGGCTCGCTCGGTAACAGCCATTACTGAAGAGTGTATTCTTTCTGTCTGCTGACCTCCACCCAGATTTGCTAAACATAATGTGCAGTTCCCGCTTGTTAAATTTTCTCCTTGCCTATTCAGTGCCAGCCTGAGTTATAAACAGGGGTTCTGGTTTGTACTATTTATTTCCCCCCCTAGTTTTAGGAGTATATTTTTAGAAAAATTGCCGCTCATTTCTTAGGAGTAAAACAAAACAAAGGCTATTATCATTGTTTAAACAATTGGTTTTCTTTGAATTATATACAAAACTTGCTTACATTCCCAAGGATCGAGCTCTCAGCAAACAAAGCAGGTCTGGAGAAATTCCTAGCCCTCTGAACAAACATTTTCCAACCTTGATTTCTTTTCTTTTATTTTTTTTCTGTTGGAAATGTCCAACATCACCAGCACAAATTTCTTCCAAGCCACTGAATCCCCCTCACAGATGGGGCTCATAGCTCAAAAAGCCAGGCTGGCCCATGCCTGGTATGCAGCTCACAAGGGGTCAGAGAGAGATTTTGCCTGGAAGTGGATCCAAAGCAGTTCCCAAAAGGCTGCCAGCCCTGTCACCCCTCACAGTGACCAGTTTGGCCTGCAAACCTGGTCAGGAGCCCCACTACAGTTTTGCAGCCGAGAGGATCACCAGGCTGATACACTGATTGCTCTCCCCCATCTTTGCCCCAAATTTCACCCTGGCTACAGCTGACTGGGGTTCCTTGGGGCAAAGCTCCTCTCGGCCCCCTCCTCCCCTCCCTCCCGACTCACCACTCTCTTTTGGGGCTTGATGAGGGGCCGGCTGAGGCCGTTCATTTTGGTGTAGAGCCCGCAGGCGTTGCACAGGTAGTTGCCGGTGCCGTCTCTCCTCCACAGCGGGGTCTGGATGGAGCCGCAGTTGACGCACTCCCGGCTCTCGGACAGGTCCTCCAGCAGCTCTGGGGGCAGGAGCAGAGGGAGAGGCGGTGGGGCACGGCCGCCGAGCCCGGTGCAGCCCCGCGGAGCGCGGCCCCGGCCCCGCCGACACCCGGGCCCCGGGCGAGCGAGCAACCGGCCCTCGGAAAAGCAATTCCCCGGCAGCGACGGCGGCCATGCCGTGATTTTTTCTACAAAATCCCTGGTTTTTTATTTTCTTTTTTTTTTTTTTCTTTGTTTGTTTATTGGGTTTGGGTTTTGGTTTGGTTTTTTTTTTTTTTTTTTCTATTTATTTAAACGTGCCAGAGCCGCTGCGGGCCCCGGCGGAGCTCTTGCCCCGGACACCGGCCCGCCAGAGGGCTCAGCCCCGGGCCGCCGTCCACTCCCGGCGGATCTGACCCTTGGGAAATCCACCTAGGGCCCGCTCGAGGGGCGAAACCCCCTCCGTGGTGCCCACAAGACGGAAAGGGAGGTGCACTCGCCCTTAGAGGGGAGCAGAGTGAGGTGGCTGTCAGAATAGCCCCTTCCAGAGCCACCCTGGGAGCTGGATATGTCGTTTTGCCCAATATTCCCCGGGGTCGAAGCTCGGCAAGAACTTTTCTACCTTAATTCTTATTTTAAATGCCTCGCAACTAGTAAAGCTTCTAGTTTAGAGGCAGCGTTTGGGGCCCTGGTGTGCCAAGGCAGCGAGGGGCAGTGGCTGCTTCGCCTTGGCTATTTGGTCAAATTAGAGCTGGTTTGTAGGAAATAGAGGAAATGGAAAAATAAGTGGTATTGTGCCTCCTCCTTTCATAGTTACTGAAAGGGAAAAAAAGGTATAAAAGCACGGGGAAAAAAAAAAAAAAGAAAAAGAAAAAAAAAGAGAGAAAACCCACCTATAAAAGCTAATACTTTCACCCATGCGAATCCCTGTTCTGATTCACCTCTCCATATTTCCATATTTCGGGGGAGGGGGGAATAAATGCTTGTTTTACATAGACTGTGCCACGTTGTGCAGAAATAATAAAAGGAGATGTTTGGATTTTTACGGCAGCTTTCGAGTCGAGTCTGGGAATGTATGTTTCAGGCTCAGAGCTTCGTCACTGATTTTTTTATTTCCTCCCTCTGCTACCTGCCTGAATTCCTCATTGGGTTATTCTCTAAGGTTTCACTGCGCAGCGAAAGAGAGCACGTAAAGGTCGAGCAGCTTTGGAGACTGGGCTGCGGTGGCACGGCGGGCATTGAGCTGAGAAAGACTCGGCCTTTTGGCCCGCACCCACCCAAATACGCTTCTCTCCTCCCTTCGTTTGCGAATTATTAGGCGCTAAAGAGGAACGGGCACACGGCACAGTCCAGAGAGCACAGTTCAACCTACGTTGTCAGCTCCTAGCTCTTAGCACATCGCTAAGATTTATTAATCTTTGCACTAAAAGCACCATTGAAGACTGTAACCAGAAAAATGTTTAGGACGTCAGGGACGCTGGAACTTAAACAGTATTTTGTCTCGGCTATTTATTTTATAGCATTGCCTTCGTGCTTGCAGAAAGAAATTCTGCCGTGACAATATTTCTCCGGCATTTTCAAATATTTTTCCCCTTAGAAAGTGAGTACTACACTTATTTCCAAAGAAAACAATATAAAGTTTTAATTTTAGACACTGTTTTAGCATCTCTACGAGTACCGTTAAGAAAGCTTTATCAAACTGTCTAGTATTTAGCCGTAAAAAATACATTTCGGCTGCATTTTTCCCACAATTTTGACACGGGACAAGGCGTAGCTTCGGCTTTGCTGCCGCGTTTTGCCTCACAGGAGCAGAAAATTTTCCTGGCCCCGGAGCTCCGGGCTGCTTCGCCCCGCGTTACACCGCGTTGCGGCTGCCCTGGCACCCGTCCTTTCCCTCATGGAAAGGTTAATCCCTACCCCTCCAGCCCCCAGCACTGGTGGGAGGGAGGCACAAGGGCGGGAGAGAGCCGCTGGAGCAGGGGAAGCTGCCGTGCTCCTCGGCTGCCTTGACACTCCTGCCCCAACCTCCTCCAGCGCCGGCTCCTGCACTTCTCTGCTCCTTCTTACTCACCCCTCTCCTCTCCCTGCCGTGAGATTTTCCAACCCCACGTCCCTCCCGACAAAATTAAAAAAGAAAAAAAAAATTAAAAACACAATTGATTTTTTTACTCTCCGTCATCTAGTTTCACACTATAACTTTTAAAAGTTGAGTTTAAAACGCAACTTTCTTGTTACCCTGAGATGTGGCTTCTCCTATCACTGCTACAACTGATTTTCTCCCCTCTGTCAGGATATAAAACACCAAGTGGGAGGATTAAAATAATTAAATCTACAGGGTGTCATCGACAGACGGGAGGAGCATTGTGTGTACAACCCTACAGAAAGACAAAAATTCATGGGGTAATTTTCTGCAGCACTGCACTGAAAGAGAAAATCACGGTGTCTATAAAATATATGCACCTGGTGGGTAGTTTATGCTTAAAGTGAATGACGATCAAATCTGTGTGCATACACATATTTACATAAATATGTATATATACATAATAAATATATGCACAGCATGTATATATAAATACATATACATAGCCACACACACCTCTCTATAAACCTCAATTTATATATACATAGATTTATTCTAAAGCTGAAGAGATTGCAATTATCGTTAATCTTTCTACCTCTGACAAAATCATCGCAGCTCAAACTCCACTTCTGCCATTGATTTAATGACACCGAGAATCTCCTTAACTAAAACAAAAAATAAGGATGGGACACCTCGGAAATGAAAGCAAAACCCCTCAGGAGTTGCTGTATTTTAGCAGCAGTTTATAAATTACGTTTTCTCATTCAAATACGAGATTTTACTTCGCTGCTTTTCTTTTTTGATGAAGCAACGAAGTGTTTTATAGTTGAAATAATCCAAAATGGGTTAAGTGAGCCCCTGCAATTTTCCTCAATGATACAAGAACGATTAATTTGCTGTGAATTTGTCACTGTTTCTTGTCCAGATGACCGCATTTAAGGAAAGCAGGAATGTACTGATTTGGAAAAACTAAAAATTAAGTTTACACCGGGCAATTCGTTTTGGGATCTTTGGGTTGGTAACCCCGACTGCCATACTCCAAACAACGCCATACTCAATACAACGGACGTGTATTTTGGAGGTGCGTTTTTGGAGGAGCATTTTTGGAGGTGCATTTTCCCCCTAACTCAACACAAACGACGGGAGTTACCTCCACTCCAGAACAGCCACGGTCCCGGGACCGCCGTCCTGACATGGACTCGCCAGTGACCCCCGGCCGGGGCGGCCCCGCCGCCGCTCCCCGCGCCCCCCGGCACCCCCGCCGCCCCTCCGGGGGGCAGCCCCGGCATGCGGCGACCCTCCCTGCCCTGCCCTGCCCTGCCCTGCCCTGCCCTGCCCTGCCCGCGGCTCCTACCTGCGCTGGGTGCCCGGACGGGGATGGGGGCGGCCCGGCCCTGGAGGCAGTGCAGCATGGAGTTCTCGAAGGGCGCCGTGGGCCAGGCAGGGGCGAGCTGCGGCCCCACGTAGGACGTGTAGGGGCCCGGGTAGGAGCCATTGAGCGGCCGGGCCAGGGGGCTGTACTGGTCCCTGGCGCCCAGGCTGTTGCTGTAGGCGCCGGGCTCCCGGGAGGCCCCGTTGGCCACCGGCGGGCTCGGGGAGTAGGGGAAGCGGCCCGAGGGGTGGGAGCCGCCGCCGCTGCTGTACGAGGGGCTTTCCGCGGCCGGCTGGGACCAGACGGCGTGGCCGCCGCCCGGGTGGCTGGGCTGGGCCGCGCCGCTGCCCTGCAGGTACGGCAGCGTGGGCAGCATGGAGCCCACGCGGGTGGTGGGCACGTAGACGGGCGAGCTGGGCGTGGAGTGCATGAAGCCGCCCGGAGATCCGTCGTAAGGCGTGGGGCCCTGGGCGGCCGAGATGGCGAGGGTCTGGTACATCTCCTCGGGCTGCTCGGCGCCGAGGGCGCTCAGCTTGGGGCCGCGGCTGGACCAGATCAGCTTGTTGGTTTGGTCTAAGTCCGCGAAGAGCAGGATGTCCTCCCAGCTGGCACGGCCGGAGGGGTGCGGGGTCCCGAAGTGCACGTAGGGGGCGAGCAGCGACCTGCCCTCGGCGGCGGGGGGCGGCCGGTGGCTGCCGTCGGTCTCCGGCCGAGGAGTCTTGGAGGATCCGCGTTCACCCTGGGAGCCGGAGGAGGAGGAAGGCGAGGGAGGAGACGGGCGCGGCTCCCTGGTCGCGAAGGGACAGGAGGAACCGCCGGCGTCCGCAGCGCACCGCTTCACCGCGCACCAGCCGCCTTCAGCCACGGCCATCCAGGTCCCCTTCTAGCCGCTGGGTGTGGATGGGGAAGGGCGAGGAGGGGAGGAGGAGGAGGAGGAGGAGTGGAGGGGGGGATCCGCAGGGCAGGGCGGGGAGGGAGGACACAAAAGAGCAGGGAAGTGGGGGAGAGAGAAATAATAATAACAAAGTTTGCAAACAGGACAGCCCGTCTCCCTCCCGTAATGAGATTCATCAGGGCTTATCTGGCCCCTCTGAGCGCTTAATCAGTCATGTCGCCTCGGCGCTGTGTTGTCCCTCGCCCCGGCGGGATGGGATCAGGCAGCCCAGGTCAAGACGAGCCGGGAGACGCCAGTCCCGCGGGGCCAGGGCTGCGGCTCCGGCCCCGCTTTCCGCACGGCGGGAGGGCTGCTCCCCTCTCTCTCCCTTCGCATCCCCGGCTGCGGATTTGAACATGAAGCACGCCGGGGCAAAGGTGGGCGTAAGGGCGTGGGGACAGAGGGGGGTGAGGGGGCATTTTTCCCTGTCTCTGCCCTTTCTTGGCTGCTGTCGTTGTTATGATTATTTCAATGAATGAGTCATTTGACTCGGTTCCACCGAGAAAACAATTAGTAAGGCGATCCCTTTAAGGTTACTTCGCCGGAGAGTGATGTTAGCTTTTCCTCGCTTGTTTGCCTATTTCCAGCCCAAGGTCACGGAAAGGAGGAGGAGGAGGAGGAGGGAAAGGCCCCTGAGGGACGGGAGATGCGCACGGGCCGGGCCCGAAGTGTGCGCGGCGGCGGCGGGACGCGGACCGAGCCGGGCGGGATGTGCCTGCGGCAGGGGCCGGATCCAGCCGGCAGCCCTGGCTGGGCGCCTGCCCCGAGCCCCTGCACACCTTGCAGCCGTGACACCCGTCCCGAGCCGAGAGGGGCCAATTCGGAGCTGCTAGCACGAGGAAGGCCGGACAGACAGACACAGAGAGTCCGCTGCCCAGCCCCTAGGAGAAGGGGGAGAAAGCGAAAGGGGACACAGAGAAGTGACAGCAAGAGCAGGCGAGGCTCTCCGCCCTCAGCCCACCTCGGGGCACTCCAGATAACCACAGGCACAAGAATACAGGACACACACAGAGCCCCCTCGCAGATAGGCACCAAATACGTCTCTCCCTCCTGCGAGATAACTGGAAGATAAGGCTCCGGCAGATAAGAGCTCCAGGCAGCGGCATCGGATGTTTGCCCACACAGTCTCTCTCCCTCGGGCTCCCCCAGCCAGGGGCAGCCGCCGCCGCGCCGCGCTCCCCTCGGAGCGCCCGAGGGCAGAGAGGCAGCGGCACAAGACCCAGAAAGAACGAGCGAAACCGCGGCGAGGCGAGGAAAGAGAGGGGCCAAACCTGATGCCGGTGGCCCGCATGGGGCCGGGGCGCGGGGCCGCGCCGGGCGGTAAATCCAGTGCGGCGGGGGCGAGCGGCGGCGGCGACTCCGGCGGCGGCGGCCGGCGGCTCATGTATAAAAAGGAGAGAGGAGGCGCCTCTCGCAGCCCTGCCGGAAAACTGCAGGCAGCCGGCCCTGATTGGGCTCGGCCAGCCCTAAACAAACACGGGGCTCCGCAGGGGTGCCAGTCCCGGGGCCAGCCGGGCCGCCGCAGCCCCGGGGGCGGGGGCGGGGGGGCACCTCGGGGCGCCCACAGCCAAGGGGCGACGGACCCCTGCTCGGGGAGCAGGAACGAGCACGGAGGGCTGGCTCTGGCAGATACCCCAGTCTTTTTTATTTTTTCTTTTTATTATTATTTTTTTATTTATTTTAACCCAGAAATAATACACACTCTTCCCTGCTTTCCGGATTTTTTTTTTTATGGTGAATATTCTACTTCTGTAAGGTTTTTTCTTTTCTCCGCGCCTCCCGGCATGTCAGAGAATGTCCCCTGGCAGCGGACCCGGGGGGGGATGTGTGCCTGGCTTTCGCCCTAAGCAACCAGGCGAACGTATCCCTCCATCAAATCTCCTTAGTTTGTGCTCGTCCAAATCAGAGCTATCCGAGATGAAAAAATCCGAGCTATCCGAGATGAAAAAATGTGACTCCTCCTTGAGTTGCCCCGACCATCAGGTGAAGCCAAAGCAAGCTGTGGGATGTGTCCATCCCAACAGCTGGCGGTAGGCATTTTTCCTCTGTTTCTTTCTTATTACCCCCCCGCTCCTCAACCCTCTTATCTCAGCTGTGTACAAACTGATATGGTACTTAGCAGGAAAGTGACTGGAAATTAAAATAACTTCGTTCACCAGAGGTTATCAGCTGGATATCTGTCATCATCAGTTTGTACAGAAAGTCATCTGCGGCAAAGGGCTGGACTAGAGCAGAGCCGGGCTCTCGGCAGCCGGCAGGCATGAGCCCTCCCGACAGAAACCGAGCCCAAACCTGCTGATGCGCCGTGCTGTCGCTCCTGGGGTAGGCACGGCTTTTCTTTCGCTCTTTCCAGGCGAGGTGAACGGGAGGTGAAGAATTTGCAGTGCTGGGGGTACGGTAAAACACCGGCTGTAGCGATCCGCTCTGCCGGCGTGGGTGAACTGATTGTGACTTGGAAGTTTATTGTTACCGCGTTAATTTTTGCGGTATAGCGCGGCACGGGTTTGATCGGAAAACAATCACTTTCCCGAGAAACCGTTTCTTTATTAAATTGTGTGATTAAAGGTGATACTTCTTTCTTGTCAGCTGTCTCTAAATAATATCGTTAAATAATATCGGTCACCCTGCCAGGCTGAAGTGACTTTTTTCCTTTCTACTTTTAGGTGTATTTTAGCGAGTGCAATATTTCATAGAAAATAAGCTTTTGCAAGAGAGGGCAGTGATTTGTTTTCTGCCCGGCTTGTCTTCCGATCCTAGTTCGAAACGTAAAACGTTTTTGCCGTGGTTTTTACCTGCAAATGAGAGACAAGAGCAGTGGAAGCCGCGGGACTCGATGCCCACGGCACTTCTCCCCATCTTGGGTGCTGCCACTACAAATATCTGCACTGAAAAGCGTCGAGATTTAAACCTCGCGTTTCCTTTCAGTCTTTTGGATGCCCCTTCTCCAGTTAAACACGAGGGTGTTTCAAACACGTGTAAAGGTGGATATAAAGCGATAAATACCGTGAGGGGTTTTTTTCAAGCGACGGGCTTTGCTCGCTGGGAGGGGTTTGCCGGTGCTCATGTAAGCCCTTGGGGGGTGGTGGGGACCGCCTGGGCCCGGAAGGTGCCTGCCCGAAAGGTGAGGATGGCTGGGAAGAACGGCCACGTTGGCCTGGCAGACGCCTCTTTCCCTGGCTCCAAAGTGACCCGTGTTTTACACTCAGGCGCCTTGGGTTTTTTCCCTGCCGATTAGCCTGTTTACGTTATAGCCGGGCTACAAGCTTCATTTTATTTCCTCCGATAAACACGATAAGAAAACCCGGCTTAAACCGGGAGACCAGCGTGGGAAACCATCCCCAGTCACCCCTTTCCTCTCCACTCCTTTTCGTTTCGGGTTCGCTGTGGAACCGCTCAAATCATAGACTCCTAACTCTTCATTACGTCACTCCTTTCCCAAATCCCGCTCTGCTGACGTAGCTTTCACCCCGGGGCTCCGGGAGGCTCCCGGGTATCTCCTGCACCATGCCTGGGCTGGGTACCCGGGGGTGCCTGTGCAGGGACATTTTTGGGGCCAGGGGCTGCTCGGTTGCGGGAAGACACCGCCGGGGAGGAGGTGCCAACGCGGTGACCATCGCTCCTGGTCGTTGTGGCCAAAGAGGGAAGAAGGCCGATTGGGGGGAAAAAAAGTTTCGTGTCCAATTAAGGCAAATTCCCTCGCGGGCACTTCAACCTCCCAAAAAAGGGTTGGGGGTAAGCCGTATGCAAGCGCAGAGCTGTTGCTCCTTCCCCCACTCTCGGGTCTCTGCAAACGTGATTCCTCACCAGGGGTGCACTAGGGAGGAGGGGAAGGCTCGGTCCGGTCGCACCCTCGCTGCCCCTCGGCCCGGACAGCCTCGGGAGCTCCGGGCATCGCCCGCGGGTCGGGCCCCGATGCTCCCGCGGCGCTGCGGCCCTGGGGGCCCGGCGGGCTCGGCTGCGAGGCGGTGCGAGGGGTCACTTTGGTGGCTATCGCAGGCTGGAGTGTATTCTTTTCCGAGACGTGTTTATGTAACTTAATGTACTTTAGAAACTGCTGGGGAGTTTAGGCCGGGCTGATAAGCGCCGCGGTTATTACGGGCGACGTGCCGGCACCTCTCCCCCTCTCTTCTCCCCTTCGCTTATCCGCGCTACTTAAAATATACTTTTATCAAGGCCACCCCACGATACGGAGTGTTTCCATTGCCCGGCGGCTGTGACATTGAAGCGGACATATCGATCGGGGCACCGGCGGCTCTCGGGAGCTGCCGGCCGCCGAGGGCTCAAGCCCCCGCGCAGGAACGGCGGCCGGAGCAATCCGCATCCGCCCGGGAAGGGATGGATTTCAGAGGGATAGGGGCCTGTGACATCACCCATCACCTCTGTCTCGGGCTGGGTGGGACAGCCCGGGGAGCTAAGAGTGGTGGTCAGCCAAAATTGACGCCCAAAGCAGCGAGACCCTCTACACACCACAGCACGGGCAGGGGCGAGCACGGTGAACGTGCCCTTTGCGATAGATCGTGGGTGTCCCACGGTGAGGACGGACCCCCAAACTATCAAGGATGAGGAGGCATTATTTTTTCTTTCCCCGAAATTCCTAACGAAGGGCTGCCGGGTGCTCAGAGGCCGAGCTTCAGCTCCAGCCGCCCTCGCTGGTGGCAGACAGCGGGCCCCGTGGTGCAGGGCACCCTGACCCGGCTCTCGGAACCTTGCCCGCTCCCAGGCTGAAGCCGTGCCCGGCGGCGGGGAGCGGGCAGCAGGATATTCCCCACTGCAGTCAGCGGCCCCCCGGCCAGCTGGTGACCTGCTGCTGCGTGCTTTTGGGTGGTTTCCACCGTGTCTTTGAACACTTGACTCTCAAGTAAGCATCAGGCAGCAGAGACCCCGCACGGACATTTATGCAATACGTGCCCAAATGTGTGGTTTCTGTGTGGTTGGGG